AAACAAAAATCGCCCAAATCTTTCTATTTTTTTCACAATATTTTTCAAAGTATTATAGCACACATTGTAAGTTTGAATGGAGATGCTTAATTCCGAATAACTATTGTCGGGAACAATGTTCAAGATGTGATTGCATAAGTGTGTTCGAAACATTTTTTTTTTGCTTTAAATCTTTGTTCATTGAACAGTTCTGCTATTGATCCAATACCCAAAGTGGATTTATATGTGAAAAAACGATTCGCTTTATTGAATGTAATTGATGAGAGTGCACTCTATTTCTTTTACAGGCACGCAGTAGAAGTGGCACTGTGCATTGAAATCCCATTTGAACTGTAACACAACTATTAATTTGATTGTTTCACGATTGTGTAATTGCTGCAACCGAAATGCCGTCAGTTTTCTCATACAATCCGCATTGAAGTCAAGTAAAATGCTACTTCTTTTGTTCTCAGACAGGAAAAGAACGATTTTCATTTGCCAACGACATTTGAACAAATATTATATAAAAAAAAGTTTCATATCGATCCAATTTTGCGGTCATTATGTTTTGGCTTAACAAAAGGCATCATTTAACACTATATATTGAATAATCACATTTTTTTGTGTGTGTGTTTCTTCTCTGCAAACTCTATTATCATTTAATGAAGAAAAAAAAACGAGTTTGAATGGAATTCGAGACATAAACGGATAGACTTTTTTCTAAACGGATAGAGTTATGTACCGTGTATTGAATAAGAGCGTCAAATCAACGCTAATTGCAGTTGCTGTGCTAAAATCTGATTGGTTCACAACATATTTTTCAAGGACTATAGTTTTTCACAAACCACTTTTCGCTAGCATATTTCTTTACCATATTTTGACGAAAAAATATCTGCTGCCGAATTAATCGAGGAATTTCAGTAGCACAGTGAGAATGGATGTAATGAATATTTGTTTATAAACTGAGTATATTTATGATTCGAATGCTGATGCATGCCAAATAACTCTAAATACAACGAGCGCTTTAAGAAACAAACGAAAATCAGTTGAAAAATTGATTGGATGTGTGATGTTCCATTTATTTCATTTTACATTTGTCAAAATTGCCAAAGCCACTGGTCGAATTTTTCTATCAAATCATCGGCAATTCAAAGCTGTAAATTTTTCTTTAACCGACTATTCAGTGAGTATGTTCATTTAATTGCTAGAAAAAGTTGGAGTTTTATATTTCGGTACTATCCTATACAATTTGATAATTTTTTTTTTGTGTTGTGATGCATAAAGGGCTCGTTTTTTTTTTTCATTTCAGCCAAAAATGGAAAGTCATATTGTCCAATATGATGCAAAATATCGTTGCTCAAACTGTAGCTTTGAATGGAGCTATCAATCACGAGATTCAAATATTGTACGATATTGTGAAAGATGCGGTGTTCCAGCTGAGCCATTCACGCGAATCATTCTGCGACAATGAGCATAGCAAAAGTGTAATCCGTTTTAAATAATTTAAAATATATGTAAAATAAATAATGTTTGAATAAAACCAATTATTTTGCATAGAAGTCGAATAGATTTTTTTCCCTCATTTCTCCTTGAATAACATCCACATATTTTGTTTTTCAAGAAATAAACGACAAATGAAAGCAAAACTTATTCAATTTATACAATTTTGCAATTTTATTTGCAAGAAAAAAATATATGAGAACCTGGCGTGAAAGAGATGGCGCTTCTTAAATCGAGTCGCGTTCAAATACATTGTCAATATACAACGCAAGTGATACTCGACCAACTTACTTCCACACTATTCACGGTTGGGGCGTTCAAATAACTGGCATTTTAAGTGGCGTTCCGCATTTGGTTCGCATGGTTTTTGCCTATTTTTTTCAATTTACAGTGATTCATTGCTGCAAAAAAAATTCATGGGGCCGAACAAATGTACGGAAATTTGCTTGTTTCATCTCAATAATACTGAACGGTGTGTTCGTCATTGGATTAGCCTATTCAGGATGTAGTTCAACTACAGCCGTTGTTTTTCTCATTTTGGCCACTGGAGTGTATGGAGCCGTTACAGCAGGCCTGATAGCAGCAGTCATTGATATGAGGTAAATAAAACACATATTCGTTTCTTATAAACTGTTTTCTCTTTATTTAATTTTCAAAAAGATAAGATTTTGAATTCATTCTTAGTAAATTTCGTACTTTATCTCTTCATATTATATAATTTTCATCTTGATCAGTCCGAATTTCTCTGGAATAATTCTCGGCTTAAATGGATTGGTCTGTGTTACGCCTGGATTTATTTCACCATTCATTGTCGTTGAAATGTTGACATATGAAAACGTAAGCACTATCTATTTAGTTACTGAAAGAAGAATTGTGATAAGAAATTTAATTCAATTTCTTCTTTAACACATTAGCAATCAACACAACAATGGCAATATATATTTTCGATTTGTGCAACAATTTTGTTTATAACCGGCAGTATATATCTTTTATACTCCGATTCAACATTACAAAGTTGGAATCAACCGAAAACACTCCCAAATTCCACCAATGACAAAGAGATGGAAATCATAAAAAAATGTCATTCAAGAGAAAGTGAAGTCAACAGAAGAGCAAGAACTGATACCATTAATGAATGATGCATCATTTGGACGTTTAAAGTGTTGGAGCACTTTCGTTATTTGTTTAATAAAAGTGATAGTGGCAATAAATGAAAATCATACAATTTTAAAAATAGACAATTTTTGTGTTGTAGAAAAGAAGTTCTTTAAAGAAATGAGATCACAAAATGTCTTTTATTCCTTGGGTTTTACATTTTTAGAGAGAAAAGTACTTCGTTTGAGTTTATTTCATTTGAATGAAATTCGTTATTTGATTTAAACATCGTAAAAGCGATTATATATCTTTTCAGTCAGTAAAATGTTTTCATATTAAAAACGCATTGAAACTGTTCAAAAATGCAAAGTTTCAAGTGAAACATGTAAAAAAAAAACAAAGTAATGTTTCAAAATCAAGTACTTTATGTCACGGAAAATGGCAATTTTCTAAGCAAAAAGAGAAATGTTGTCAGTTGGTAATTTTATTACGAATTAGTATCACTGATTTAGCTAATAAAACTCTGCACAATGTAAGTCTACAGTGTACAGAATCACTGATAAGTATTCATTTATAATAATCATAAGCATTATATAGAATGATAACAGTCCTATTGTTTTAATTATCAGCCCGACTAATATGAAAAGTTACGAGGATTAAAACCAACAAGAAATTTTTCTAGTTTTATTAGGAGATATTATAGAAATTCAAATACATTAATAATAATTAAACTGAAAGCAATGTAGCCAAAACCAAAATATTTACTAAAAATACAGGCGCACTCGAACTACTTTAATTATCTGTTAATTTTTTTATTTGACCATTGCAATGGATTGATATTTCAAATGTGATAAAATACGTAATGATTTCCATTCCTTTTCAAGTTCTTTGCGCACCTGGTCCAAGATGGGTTTTAAATCTTCATTTTCTGTCATAAAAAAGACATTAAATTCCTTCAAGTTCTGGTTATTTTTGACAAATGTTAATATCTCTTCAGCTCCAACAGCATTATCACAAAAAATATCCACCGAAATAAAATTAGCCGCTTTCGATAATCTAAAGACGCCGGGTCCGTCAAAATATGCAGTAGGTCCGTCTCCTTGTGTGTATGTATTGATTTGATTCAAGTTCTTATTGCTTTCAATGAATGTAAACCATTCGTCCGTAACTTTATTACCACCATTATGAATTTCTAGGTATTCAAGCGGTTTAAAAATAAATTTTTCACCATTAAAACCATGAGTAGAATCTGAATGTATTTTAACACGTTTCATATTTTCGAAAACAAACGGCGGGCCGTGGTAAGTTTCATTAAATTTATATGGTACTCGGAAAGAAAATTCTTCAAGTTGGGGATAAGAATCGCGCACAGCTGCAAGATAATCTATGCCTCCTTCATAGGAACCTAGTTTCCGAATTTGCGGATTTTTCTGGAAAAAATTGCTATAGCCACCGTTGAAATGATAGGCTGAAAAATCAATCAAGTGTGGGTAAACACGATCAAAACTTCCCTCTTCATAATAGTCTTCTATATGTAAAATGCTTAGATTTGGGAATACAACAGTTGGATCGATAGATATATCATCCCAAGCATAATTCATCCCAAAAATAGTCAAGTTCTGAAGGTTTTTGAATGGCTGAGAATCTTTAAAAACACCTGGTTTTAAATATATAAATAAAAGTGTTTTCAAAGATTCAGCACAATATTTATGAAGATGTCCACCAATTTCCTTGCATTTGTTCCACTCCATTTGATGGCAGTCAACCCAGAGATTATCGTACTTGGATCCAAAAACTTTTAGAAAATTCTCAGCTAAACCGGATGAAATGACAGTTACGTTTCCAAAGAACGTTTCAAAAACTCCAGTCTTTCCTTCATCAATTACAATTATTGGTGATTCCCATTTCTTTTTGAATGCACTATGAGCCAGTTTTCTGCAGTGATCACTTTTTACAGCCACTTTTATTTGGTCCTCGATTGACATTTTCTCCAAGTCGTTCGGATTACAATCCACATCGTTTACATTTTTTATTGCAATCGAATTGACTAAGTGAATGCCAAAACAACACACAATGAGACAAATTTTCAACCTCATCTTGAACCAAAATTGATTTAAATGTTCGCCTCACAATTATCAGTAAAAAACTGAATTATTGTCCAAATGTTAGAAGTATTTAAAGCAAATCAAATGGTAACTATCACGCGAAAAATTATGAATCATACCTCTTCAAGTCTAATTTAATCTCCATACTTGAATTTCAGTATGATATCAGCATTCTAAATTGACGCCTAATTGACCGTAGTTGAGCAAAAACTGACGGAAACATTCAATGAGGGAGATTCTTTAAAATAGGCAATTTTCGGCTGTATTTTTATGGAAAATTTAGAAAAAGTCGGTTGAAATTCGGGTCCAAATATCATCGCCGACTTTCTAAGGTCGATTTCGGATGGACGTTTGGATTCGATCGGACATGAGAACACATTCATATTATTTTAATCGTCACTATTCTTTACAAGATAATACAAATAACTGATAATGATAACAACTCGGCCACTTTCATTTTTTTACCAAAATTCTATTGTATTTTTGAAATGATGAATTGTGATCATATCGTCGGCACTCATATCGTCGGCACGTGAATTGGTTCACGTGTATATGGTTCAAAGTGAGTCATTGTAGACAAACGAATGAAAATGTCCACGATTAGTTATAAATTTGAGTCATAATTGTGTGCACAGATGCTAGGGGAAATGATCTATTCGCGAATGGACAAAATTTATTAGTTGT